TCGTCGTCGTGTGTGTGTGTGTGTGTGTGTGTGTGTGTGTGTGTCGTGTGTCGTGTCGTCGTGTGTGTGTGTCGTCGTCGTCGTCGTCGTCGTCGTCGTGTCGTCGTCGTCGTCGTCGTGTGTGTGTGTGTGTGTGTGTGTGTGTGTGTGTGTGTGTGTGTGTGTGTGTGTGTGTGTGTGTGTGTGTGTGTGTGTCGTTGTGTGTCGTTGTGTGTTTTGTGTTTTGGGCTCGAGACAGCTCCAGCCAGTCAGACGCCAGCAGAGTTGAGCCCCCCCCCCCCCTTCTGTTCTGTGCTCCTCTAACGGCGGCTACACACGCTGCTGTGTTGCAGACAGGCAGGACGTTACGGAGAGGACCAGAGACAGCTAGTGGACACATTCACTGTGATTATACCCGGAGACCGAGACCCCGGAGGCCGGTGGACCCGCGGAGGGACCGGGCTGAGTGACACAGGTCCCGGTGTTCACGTTGTACACACCGAGGCGCGATATTGGATCTTTCTTCAGGAAGGACCCTCAGCCTCGCACAGGGATGTTTCTGTCCTGGGGCGGCATGTAGGGGATGTTATCATCTTGGAAAAGTAGAGGTTAGACAACTTTCTCTGTTTCTGGCCTCAGTTTGATAGAGTTCATAAACTCGCCATATCACTCTGTCGGCCGGGAGCCTATGCTGTCCCTCATGACAGCTCATGACTTTTGAGATCAATTCTGGAACTAATCCAATAGGATTCCCCCTCAGTTGCATGGAAAACGTGTGTTCAAAGCAGTGCCTGCGAGAGGAGCTTCAGAGCTGTTCAACATACCATATGTTGTGAGTGTGACTGTAATTGGAATGATCATTTAGCTCCAGAGCTGCCAGCCACTGCACACTGCTCTGTGTGTGATCCGAGCTATGCAGACTGACTGGAGCCACTCTCAGACAGCTCCTCTGCACACCCAGCTCTAAGGTGCTCTCACAGAGAGGAACTTTTACAGCTGAGGAAAGCTCCCTGCAAGCCTCGATCCAGAGGGACGACTGGTGCGGAGTAGCAGATGTTACACAGCTTTGTGTATTATGTGTGTATGTGCGGATTATTCAGATGCTGCTATGCAGACAGAGTGGAGCCACAGAAAATCTGCTTGTGAAGTTTGAGTAACTCTCCGGCTGTGCAGCCCCTGTCAGAGCACTCAGTTGAAGAAATGTGTTGCACTGTTGGCAGCTGAAGTTTTCTTTAGGAGGGTTTTGTTGTTGCAGCATTGAAATATTATTTTAAACAAAAACTCGTACAGGTTATGTATATTATGAATTGGTAACTTTCACATAGACTGAGACCAACAGTTGTGCCTGAAATACATGGGAAAATTCCCATCTGACTTTTTTTTACAGTAAAGAAGCAATGTTGTTCACTCCACTGACTTGTTGGTTACATTAATTGTTGGGAAATGAAGAACCCTCATTCGCTGAATAATACCTGGAATAGATCCATTAACAAAGACGAAGTACTAATGTCGGTGCCTGGCAGTAACAAGAAGTTCAAAAGAAAGTCTCAGGAGCCTAAAAAGCTTTATAGTGGCCCCGAGTCCGACAGGATGAAAACCCAAGCAGCCAACATGTCGGATGTGGACTCAGTGGATGACACCCTGCCTGAGGCATGTCACTTCAGCAGGTTGGCACCATTAAGGAGACAGCTGATCCTATCACAAGAAGGGATGGCCGGTTCTACAGCCCTTCTGTCAGAACTACCAGAGAGCGAAATGTCTCCAGCCCAGGGGGGTGCCATAGACATGAGAATTGGAACTAATGTGCCTGCCATCACTTCCAAACTGTCGCAGTTACCTGTTACCAGTTACTCTCACTCTGAGATCTCCCAATGGCCCACATCCATATCCCAGCCTCTGTCCAACAGACTCAAACTGGGCCTTCGCCCCGCTTTCCTTCAATCTACATCGACCAGCAGCAGCCCCCCCCCCAGCCACCAGGCCGTCTCTCTGGAGCCCTGCCTGTCAGCTCAGGCTCTGTCTATGGAGACCCAGCTCCACTCACCTATGGTAAATATTTGGGATTCATGAGAAATTCAAATATGCTCTGAAAAATATAGCCTTGGAGGAATAGCTATTATTAATACAAATAATAGCTTAAATTATTAATAAATCAATAATCTGTCAGTCAATGAGCAATAATATTGAAAATGGATACTTAATTAAATCTTCATTTATTAAAGGAGCTCTATTATCCTTTTAGGGGTTTTCCCTTTCCTGTGTGTGTAATAATATAGGTTTTTGTGCATGTAAATGGTCTGCTAAGGCTAAAATCCCTGTGTCCCCTCCAGAGGGAGTTTCTCTAACAATCCCGCCTTCCTGAAACGCCTCTATTGGACTCCTTTGTTTACTTCCATACCATAGTGACATCACTTTGTAATAATCACGCTTCTATTGGCTAGCCCTCCAACACATTGTATGTGATAGGCTAAGGCTGGGCTATTCAATTAGTTTGGAATGGGGGCCGGTTGATGAAAATTATCCAAAGCAAGGGGCCGGGAAAAAGATGGCTTGAAATATGAGCAATCATATTAAGGGCTTCAGATACAGTAAATACTACAACAGCATAGTAGAGTGAATATATTGTCTTTAATTTTATCAAACAACATAGCCCCAAGGCCTTTATAGATCCAAATGGCAAGTTCAGAACTCGGTAGGCCTACATGTGAAGCTAATTTAACCATCAACATCATCTCATTTGATTTAATTTAGGTGAAATGATCTAATCATTCACGCATAGATGCAATAAATGACAGGAGTTGTCACTACAGTAGCTAGTAGGTGGGTTCGAAACCCGAGCCCGCCGAAGTTTTCAGGCAATGTCATCCCCTCTATCTCTCAAATTAACACCCTCTCTAATAAATAAATCAATAAAGGCACCCTGGCCCAAAAAAAAAATCTTAAAAAAAAAAAAAAATGTATTTGATGATTACTTTTTAACATTATACTCAAAGGGCCAGTAAATATCACCCCGGGGCCGGATTTGGCCCGCGGGCCGCCAATTGAATAGGCCTAGGCTAAGGGGCTGGACGGTGACGGCGGTTGACCAATCACAACAGAGCCAATCAGCTAACCAATCAGAACAGACTGGGCTCTGGTTTCAGACAGAGGGTAAAAAGAGGTTCTGCAGCACAGGCAGTATGAGACAAATAAAAAGCTTTTTGAACATTAAAGCATGTCCAAGTAGAGACACTAAATACTGATATAACCTGAAAATGAGCAGACATTGAGTTGTTCAAGTTTCACCTAAGGACAAAAGCGGCCAATGTAAACATTGGCTGCTTTTGCATTAGAGGTAGAAGGGGGTTGTCTGTTAACATTATGATTGTTCCGTCTGCTAAATATAATAGTGAGTTTCTACAATGAAAATAACAGCTTTTTTTCTCCTTGACCTTAACTGATGTTGGTACAGTTAAGTGTGTGTTTAGTGGTGCTAAAGATAGCAATGACTGTGTTAGCAACATTTGGAATTAATGTAACGTTATTGGGCCTTTAGCTTTTCAGTGGTGGTGTGGAAATGTTGTTAATATGAGTGTTATGTTTTAAAAAGCATGTAGTTAAATAGTTCCCATCCTCAAAAAGATTGGAGTAAGAGAAGCAGTGTTCTCGGTCGTAAAATGCAATTTATACACCTCGCGTTATGTTCTTTATTCAATTACTGGTAAACTGCATATGAAAATGTAAAATAGTGGTCTCAGTACAACCTTAGAGAAGAGAAAATCTAGCACCCAATAAGATTGAAAACGTATAGACTTGCATATCAATATTTACTTGAGAATCTGTAGGTCTAAAAATCCTGGTTCTAGGGCACTCTTATGAACTTTAGTATCAACCTTATTCATTGTTGCTGTTCTAATAAAGAACAACTAATAACTGAGCTTAGAAATGGTGGAGATCACTGTTTGTGACATGTGTGTCATCAAGTTAACCCTATGAGGGAATTGTGGGTGAACATCTCTGTTCTAAAGGTCATTTCAATTATATTGTGCTGTTGTTTCGTCATTTGATTCAGAAAAACAAATATCCTTGTGCTTTCAGGATTCTCCCAGGAAACATGTTGGGGGTCACCATGAGGTCAAAGCCGTCCAGCAGACCAGGAGGCTTCTAGCCAACGCCCGAGAGAGGACGCGCGTCCACACCATCAGTGCTGCGTTCGAGGCCCTGAGAAAGCAGGTCAGACTCTCAGGCCAAACTAAAACACACAAACAACAATTTATGTAAAAGCTTAAACAAAACGCTCAAACATTGCACAGAACTAAATACATATATTTTAAAGGTGGCTTCAATAAGCAGATGCTCGCTCTACTCTGCAGGAAATAAGTCAAGAAAATATGTCACTATCCGAGTCTGTAACTGAAATGAAGCACAGTTTTCCTGAACACATGTTCACTGTACTGTATAATTTATAGTTCACTGGATAATATTCCTACAACAGGCCAACATCAGGCTCGCCCAGCAGTATGGACCAGAGCTAAAGAGAGACTCCATTCAGATTAGATTCAAACAGTAATGTATGTGTGAAAAGAGCAAACATATTTTTCCACCATGCTATAACAGAAACACTCCCTAGTATACATACTATATATATACATACTATATATATATATATATATATATATATTTATATATATATATATATATATATATATATTTATATATATATATA